TATATATATATATATATATATATATATGTGTGTGTGTATATTGTTGTTTATATATTATAACTATTATCAATAGAAAAACAATTATTTTTTTTTATAAGATTCATAATTTATAATGTCAATCTGTTTTTTCAGGATGACGACTTGATTTTCGATCCGGAGGGCAAACAAACTGCGGCTCAAGCACCATTGATCGAAACGCATCAGGACGATTCTTTTTTTCACAGGATAAAGAGAGGAGTTTCGGATTTATTTACATTAGCCCGGGGGATTGCGACAACTACACCATCAGGTATCAATTCCTTCTTAATTGAGTACAATTAGAAAAAACTGCATTGTTATAGTATAATAAATGTTAGAATTACGAAATTGAAAACACTTGCATTATTCTTTTTAAGCTATGTATGTCATTATTCAATTTTCCAATTATCAAATTCTATACCCGATAGATCAAGAAGAAGAAAATGAGATTCAAAATCAAGATATTGACAAATCCGTCATCTTAAACGTTGGAGATGAAGGAAATCATACTGTTGATCAGCCTGAAGTGCCAAATGCCAAAACGGGTATCGGTGTCATCCAAAGATTGGTCCTCGAGAAGAACGAAAACAATGACGAAGCAGATGAGGTATGGAACATCGTTTCAAAAATAGTTACTTTTTGAATTTTTATCTGTCATTTAATTAACCCTTACCGTACCAGCTATTGGGTTGACAAGAAAGTAATTGCGTTTTTTTAAAAGACATCTATCAGTAAAAACCGCAATTACTTTCTTACCAACCAATATAAATATATCTTGATAAAGTAAAGTTTCAGCTTTAAAAATCTCTTTTTTAAATTACGATATGACAATTTTTAATGGAGTTATGAGCAATTAAAGTCAAAATAATTTTTTTATTTAATCCGCGATAACTCAGTAACCAAAAATCGTAGGAATATTTAAAAAAAACGATTTTGTAGGGAAAGTATCAAGCTTTCACGATAGGTAATCGAAAATTTTCTCAAATTCAATTTTGGACACGCTACAAATCCACAAAGTGAGAAGAAAATTTTTCGTCTTTTTCAGCTCGTAGTTTTTGGTATGTAAAAATTACCAAACTCATGTAAACTTAAAAAATGTGATAAGCTTTTAAAAGTAGAGATTTCAAGCTTTAAAACCCTTTTTTTAAATTTGAATTTCATTCATTATTGACGAAGATATTATATATACAACTTTGAGCTAAAAAAAACGCAATCACTTTCTTGCCCACCCAATATAATTAATTTGGTGCCTCATCCGTACAAACGGGAACACTAGAATCCGTCCATTTTTTTTACCTATTCAGAATGATTCAAAAAATCTTTAAAAATTTATCAACATACTTTCAACTTTCTAGAATAAATATTGGCACTTGATTTTGGAAAATAATAAAATGTAATATAATTTATAATTATATATACATTTATAATTATAATATAACCGAAAGACTCAAAGAAACTTGCACGAACAGGAATCGCTCGGTCATTAGTGACTCCTTCTTATGTATGGTAAGGGTTAGATTGCATAAATATTTTTCATTTAAATAGTGTTCAAAGACAAGATAATTGAAATGATAAATCTATAGAAGGATAAGGTTAATGAACATTTTAAACATTTGTGTTTTTTAACGTTTTATTCGGTTATGACATTCAATCTATTACATGGAAATTTATTATGTCTTTACAGCACGAAAATGAAATTAATAACCCTGCAGAAAGTCAGAGAATACCACTAACGTACGGAAATACTGATGATGAAGATTTGGCTGGTTCAGGAGAAATCGAAGGCAGCGCAGGCGAAGTGGATTATTCTCCCAACTCAGGAAATACACATCGCAACACTGATGGCAAAGCACGTAAGTTTCTAATTTTTTATTCGTGATTTTATTAAAATTGAAGAATAAAGTAAACCAGAGTTTAATTCATTATTTGTCTCTTTGTTTTTTTTGTTTTTTTTTTTTTGAGAGACGAATCTATTAAAGCTTTATTAACTTTAATTATAGAATAATATAATAATAGTATATAATAATTTTTTAAACAATATACATATAATAATAATAATAAATAAGAAAAATAATAAAAATTATTATAACAATTTGTTTGTCATGTATAAATGTTATCGATCAAAATTGCAAAGATTTCTAAAAATATTTTGATATCTATTTTTATAACACTGATATAAAAAATAGACAGCTTTATATTAAGAGCTTTATATTAATTTATATGAACCTTTCATTTGTCATTGGTTAACTCCACGTTTTGAATATTTAAATTTTATCATCAAAGCGCTTGTTTGATTCCTATCAAGCGCTTTGGCGATAAAATTTTGAAGTACTCAAAAAGGAATTGACCGATTTGGCCAATGTGCTTCATATTTCATCAAAAATATTTTAATCCAAAAATTGTGTAATTAATATAAATTTTATTATTATATAATGTTTATATCAATTGTTTAACATTATTGAAGTCTATTATTTGTTTAAATTTTAATGAAAAATAAAATACGTTATATTTTTGTAATAAGAATCTTTTTAGTGATAAGATATTAGAATATATTATTTGAGTGTAAATATTTTTATTTTTCCGATAACCAGAATATTCTTGTTTTTAAACCTGTAAAAAATCTTATCAATATCTTTACAAGCAACAATAAACTTTTTTATCTCTTTTTTTACCACTAACTTTTTCAAACGTAGTATTAGTAATGTCAGAGAGTATTTTAGTTTTATAAAGTAGATAAACGGATGAAGGATAATACATCAAGAGGCTGAAGTAGAAATGATATTTGAAATAAAATATCCTCTTTATAAAATAAATACATATAAAAGAAATATAAAAATTATTTACTGATATATTTCTATGAAATTATTTATTACTAATGAATGTTTCTCTTCTAGGTTTCTATCGAATAACATTGACAGTTGGCGAGCCGTACAGACGAGAATACGCTGACAGAAACAGTCTTGAATACCGAGAATTGAGTAGCAATCTTACACACGCCGTCGAAAATTTGTATAATCGTCACATTCCAGGATACAATCATTTCGCCAGCGTCGTCAAGATATCGTAAGTATAATTGTCTAGTCCAACTTAGATTCTTAAAATCGTCCATTGTATTTAATAATTAAAATTTCTCTTTCAGGCCAACGACCGACGCTTTTACGTCGCAAGTTACTCTAGACATTGGTTCGACATTCACGGACGAGCTCGAAGTGCGTGCTATCCTAGAGCAACAGCTGCAATATCATTCCTTGGGCAGTATCCAAGTAGGTCCGGAGGGATTCACGTTCAGGATATTCCAAGGTATTTCCATCTTAGGCGGCTATCGCCTAACGACATGGAAATGATCGATTTCACGTTGGAGCTTTCGAAACTAAACTTCGTAATTCGTTCAGCTTTCCATGATGCCACTAGCTTGCGAAAAGTCGAATATAGGACGTACGAAGATCCGGTGAATATCGAACGATCGACTACTCAACGAATGGGATTGATAGCTGCGATCGGAAAAAAATTATACGTAACCGAAAAGATTATGGTCCGTATTCACACCTCACTTTTATCGATAAATGCGTGCATTTATTTCTTACATTCTATAGTACATATATATATATATATATGATGTAAATTATATATTATACTAAATTATATACTAAATGTATATTTATTGATAAAAGTGAGATGTAAATACCGAATCTAATATTGAAATCGATCATTTTGGTAAAACGCATGATTTCGGCGTGTTTAGATTATTGTTAGAATTATTGTTAGATTATTGTTAGAATATTGATACGCGCAGAAATGCACGAGGAATGCAATTTTTATTTCAACTGCAAACTTCATTTCAACTTTCACGATCTCCAATTACATAGTCTATATTTTTTATTAAGATTCTTATTAAGTTCATTATTATCACTTTAATTTATAAACGTATTTATTTTATAATTCCAGTTTCCTTCTTAATTAATTTTTCGTTCTCATATTAGTTGTTTTTCTTTTTTTCAAACTTCCTCTGCCTTTCAAATAAACACTGACTGGTGGCACGATTCGCTTATTCCGCCTACTTTCGACGCAATGAATGCACACGACAATGAACACAACACGCGAAATCCGAACACAGCCGGAGAGAAAGACACGCAGCCGGAATGCGATCAGATGACAGAATTAAGATGCAGAAGCGGCGAATGCGTACCTTTAGAATCCCGCTGTGATGGTGTATCACAATGCAACGATAGTTCCGATGAGGACAACTGCCCGACAGATTCATTGAATAAGACACGCGACGGTAAGTACGCGGAAATCCGCACTGCGTTATCTTCTCCCTGCAAAGGGTAAAAAACTGTACATAATGTTAGATCACTGTTAATAACGCTTATCTGTAAAACTCGCTCATTATTTTTATCCTTTTCTTCTGATTAACGAAAATTACAATGTGACCTGTGCAAATATACAGTACGTAACATAAGTATAAGCATGAGTATCATCAAACATCAGCATGATCTATTTATTATATTAATTTTTATATCTATTTATTATATTAATTTTTATATCTATTTATTATATTAATTTATTATATGAATTTTTTAAATGCATTAATTTACAATTAATACGCGTTTACGTATATCTCTTACAACTATCTTTGAATATCTCTCAGATTTTTCATGGAGATTCAGCTCGCCGGTGTGGCGAGCTCTACTATAGATTTTCTGTCTATCATCTTTTCTACTTCTATCTTCATTACCGTTCGTTTTAAATTAACTCTCTCCTAGCGTTTTCAATCTTGCCTAAATAACATAGTTTATTATAAATTTACTTTTGGTACAATTTATCTGCAGTAAAATAACTTATATGTTATAAGAGAAATATTTATATTTAGAAGAATATAGAGCATATAATTATAATTTATTTGAACAAGAATATTACACAAATATGATTAATGCAGAAAGAATGATTTTACTAAAGTATTATATTTAATTATATGTAGGATGCTCAAATTGGTTGCTAGAACGTCAAAACTTTTTGTAACATTGTTTTTTTCATAATTATTTTGATCTAACAAAGTTATATTTTCACATCTGTATTTACCTAATTTTTTAATTCAGCAAAATCGTACTTTCTCTGTATAATATTCTTGAAAAGAATGGATTTTTTTTCTATTTATATATCTTTTTATACTCAATCCAAGGAACATACAAAAGTTAATAAAAAAATCAGTTGATTTTATTTTGATTTTTAACGTTTCAAGGAACAGTCAAACGTTGTAATCAAAAATTATTATTATTTTGACTTTCATGATGTCAAAATAAAGCATTTTGACTTTTTTTTGACTTGGTATGTTTTTCTGGGAAGTAATACTACAAGCAAAACAAAAGCACTAGTTGAAAAATTTAGTATCACTGTGTCATCTTTTCATCCAATTCATATTCTTCGGTAACAAGCGTGTAAAAATCGCATGTTGCAACCGTCGACACTGAAACTACGCTGATAAACGAAACAACAGATTTTGAATACACCACTGTGACATCACAACATCCCTCGCTACATTTCCCGACGGATACGACTCACACGGTAAATCCGGAAGTACCGGACATCGACGACAAGCAGATCGAGGAGTCCACGCTGAGGTCGTCTTCGAACAAGTGCCGCGCCGATGACACGGTACGCTGTCACGACGGCAGTCGTTACATCTGTTCGGTACAACAGTGCGATGGCGTTCCGGACTGCGATGATGGTGGTGACGAGATCGATTGCCCGCATCCAGGTACAGATTGAGCCGATTGACCTTCGCCAAGGATCGGACGCTAAAAATCGGCGATCTAGAAGAACCGCCTCTCACCATTCTAACGGAAACGACTTAATTAAAAATCGAAGAACTGTATAGTATTGAAATTATTACAATAAAAGAGTTTTAAAAAACTTTAATAGGAATTATATTCGCGGTAACTTAAGATAATTGAAGCGGTTCTTCTAGTTAAAAAATGTATACTTAACTTTGTATTCTTAATGCATGTATGTATATACATATAGTAAATATGTATATTAAGCTTCTTTTTGTAATGTGATATCCTTTTATACACAATCATATTTTTATACACAATTATATGGGTATATACATTACTGTCTACGTCTATTCCTTACTTCAAAAGAGAATAATTCAAAGAATTAAGTTTTCCAAAAATAGGACAAAATTATTTTTCAACTTGACAGAAAATTATTGACTGATTAAATAATATTACAGCAAAAAGAATATATTCTTAACATGATCAAATATCATTTTTATTATTTTTGTTTTATAACTCTAAATAATCACTCTTCTTAAGTTATGCCAATTTTTTTAACCATTTTGACAATTTTTTATGGACTTAAATCAGTTAATTTTCTTGTGGTTGATGATAATAAGGTAATGTTCATTTGACTCATTCATGATAATAATTCGGAAATCATGTTTTTTAATTGGATTACTTTTGAAACAAGGAAGCAATGTTATATACGAGCCATGCTTATAAAGTTTCAATTACATGTTTTATTCTCGTTTTATAAAATTGTATGTATATTATTAGAATTAGCAAGCTTTTGTATCGATGCATGTGCTAACGAGAATGAAATTCTCATATGTTTTTTAACGCTTTTTATGTTAAAAGATAAATTCTTGTATTTTCATCAATATTATATACAACCGCATTTTTTAAATTTAAAAACATATTGTGATAAAATTGTAATGAAAGTATCTACTACATGTAATAACGATTTACGTTTTACAGGCTGTAGTGCTGGCGAATTCGCGTGCGACGTAAACAGATGTATATTGGAATCTCAACGATGCAACTTTATGGAGGATTGCCAAGATGGGAGCGACGAACATGACTGCAGTTATCCAGGTAAGTCTATATCTCGATTTTTGTTGTAATGTAGCATAATTGTATGATATTTAATCTTTCGGTATCCTAGTGTGGCATACTCGTTTCTTTTAATTTGCTATGTTATGATTTTTTTATTAATAAAGATACATACATTTGTTAATATGTTTATTTTTAAACGATATTTTTATACAATACCACATGAGTATTGTATAAAAATATTGCATAAAAATAGATATAAAACGGTAAAGTGGTATCGAAGGATTAAAAATAAATCGCAGAAACTCTTCTATTCAAGTAATAAAATGTATTCTTTGGTCTCATAAAACGGACGTAAAAAATAGAATATATACTTATTTCCATCTAATTTTATATGTACATATAAATGTAATTATCAGATGGATAAAAAATGGAACAGTCGCGATTCTAATGTTAACTTGGTGTATAAAATTAACAATCCAACTTTCATAGAAGTATTTATTGCATAACATTACAAACAATTATTTTTATTTTAACTCGTTCTCATAAAATATTAATTAAACTTTGAAAAATATATATTAAGAAAAAATACGACAATAAAAATCGAATCAATTATCCACTTTGATTTTACGAAATCTCAGTTTTACCAACCGCCTGATAACGAACGGTACATATCATTCTTAAACAACCTAGCATCTTACCTACGACCGTTAGTTTATCAATCTGGACGAAGAGTTGAGCGTACATAGACTAGTTACCTGTTCTACCGACTTAAGGGATCGATAGAGCCGTCATCCTCTTTTCCACCCCCGTTAGAACTTCACTTATCGAGATCGACGGTTTATCGGCGACGCGTATCCGTCCCGATGCCGCGACATTAATTCAAATCGGTCTGCCTCTCGTCCAACCGGTGGGCGTTGGTGCAAATTTCCGGCGACGTGTCTCCTCCACGAACGGCGAAGCGAATCCCTAAGCAGCAAACGGAAGCTGCGGTTTTTCCAGTAGAAAAATAAGGTCAGACGGGGGAGGCCGGCGCATACCGGTACGTACCTACTGAATATTCAAAGCTCGAGGGCTTTTTCTCCTATCCCGCATCGTCGTCCCGCGCGTCCCCCCGGCCTTTTTTCCCCGTAGTTTCCTCCGCCTTCGAGTGGTGGACGATCGTGGTCAACAACGTGGAAGCGCCGGATACCGGCCGGTGTTGTAAAGCCCACCCGATTGCGGCTACACGTATGGCGCTTTGTTGCGCGAAAGCCAGCTTAATTAGACAGCTACGCGCGTTCGGCCGGGGTAAATTAGCTCAGTGGTATCGGCTTGTGAATTATATTCTCGCGCCTTCCTCTCGGAAAGCACGAAGAAATATCGAGTAATCGCGGTTCACGTTACTTGACTAATTACGTTGTAACTTATGTTATAACTTACTACACATCACGTTATGTGTCTTCGTATTTTTTTTTCTTTTTTTTTTTTGGAAAATTAAATAGAGAAACATTTTTTCTATCATAAAGCGAATAGATATTTGACAAATGATATATCATAAAATATCCCATATATATGTAATTACGATTTCTCATAACAATATTTCGCGTAATAGCGAAAAATTCGAGGCACTGGGCTAATTATTTCCGCGATTCATACAATGCGTATAACGAGTTGGGATATATTTGCGCATACGACAAAATGTAGCGTTTTATATTGAAACTTGTATTTTTTTATCATTATCACGATTTCACAATTATCCTCTATTGAAAATAAACAATTTACAATCACGACTTGAAGCGCTGTTCGGTGAAGCTGGTCGATGCCTGTCGACAAAGCTTTGCCTTTGTCGTAGTTGGTTGCTGATCGAGGATCTTGATCTTGGTTAATTAGAAGCATTGCGCATCCTGGTTGTAATTCCGGTTTCTACATCATGTATAATAACAAGGACATGATCGCGCGTAAAGTTACCAGCCGTATTCTTTTAATAGTGCACGTACTGTTTTTGAGGTGGTAAATTTTTTGATCAGTAATTAAAATTTTATATTTATAACATTAAGAAGAATTATCAATAAAAGTTATGTTTTAGAAATTATTGTTTTAGAAATATTGTTTTAGAAATTTTATTTATTAAATTATATCTACATTTAATGCAGACAAAAATTTTACCTCTTTTTTCCACCTCCGAATTATCTTTTTTAAAAAATGTATATATGTACTCTTTTCTTGCACAGTAAAAAAAAAACGTTTTGTTTTGTGTTGGAAACTGTTTACTCGAGTTCTCGTTAAAATTTTATGTAGAATTTTTAACATATTTGCGTGTTAATTTAACATATGTTGGAAACATGTGTTGGAAACTATTCATTCGAGTTTTTGTTAAAATTTTATGTAGAATTTTTAATGTATTCGCGTGTTAATTTTGCATGTTGTGATTATGTTATTATATTATTATGATATTTTGTGTTAAGTTGATATTCAATACTTCTTAGTATCAAAATAACATAATTTATGAGTAAGTAAACAAATGATACAAAAATATGTTTTAAAATACAAATTTTAAGATAAATGAAACACGTGTTAATTTAACAGGTATATCATAAATATTAATTTTGAAAATGTCCTTCCCACAGTTTGCTTACAAATTATGTCAGTATTACTTTTTTTGTGTTAATTTTTTTCCACATATAATATTCGTGTTACTTTCTAACATATTCTTGTGTCAAATTAACAGAAAAATTTAAGTGGACCGTGAGTTTAACACAAATTTCCCAACTGTATGTAATTCAGATATGATAACCCTAATTGGTTTAATTGCGAGTAATCTCAGAATCATTAAAACCCGTTCTACGCATCCAGTGTAGAGTTGTTACTTCGCTGTTGTTACTTCCGTCCTCGTAACTCGCCCGCCGGACGAGGAGTAAAAAAAGGAACAGGAACAAATTGAGGAACGGCTTCCCGCTATTCCGTTAATCGTTCACCGGCGGCAAACTGGGGCAGCGCGCGTTCGCGGTGCGATGGCTCGCGATCGAAGGATATAATCCAGCGAGGGCCGATCGTAAATCAAGTAATCCGTGCACACGCTCTCCGTACATCCGCGCTCTCATCATTTAAACGTCTCATGGTTAGCGGATATCTTTCCGAGTCTTCCGGCGGGCCTTTTTTATCCTTCCGAGACGGGATTGCGCTCGCGGGTAGGACGAGGGACTGGCACGGGGCACGGTGGATGAAGGGGGACATCGTCGAAGCACCGCTTCACATAAATATCCGCAGACACGCAGGTTGCCGGCCAGGCAAGAAGAGCACTTTTACTTGCTCCCGGTAATCGCGATGTGCATGCTTAATCAATATTCAAGTATTCAGTCGTGAGGCAAAGAAGGAGACAACCGAGATAGCTCTCTTTCTCCTCCTCTCTCTTTCTCCCCCCTCCCCCTCCCCCTCGTTGATTTTACCCTTCGCTATCCCGCTCTCTTCACCTCATTGCGTTCTCTCTCCTCTCTCTCGAGTAGGAATGCGCATAACTAGTTTCGTGTCCTCGGGTACCCTCCCTCAGCGATATGCCCTCTCGGACAATTATGAGTACTGCCGAGTCGGAGGGGCGGAGGGGGGAGGGGGGGAGTAAAGGGATGAAGCAACGATGGGCACAAGGGATAGGCGGGAGTAACTTGCACGCTAGGCACCGCCACGACAAACGTCAGCCCCGTCGTCTTCAAACATTATTCAGGTGCGTCCTAAGCGCGTGTATATAGACTGGTTGACTTAAATATCCGCAACGGTACGTCCTTGAGTGGTAAAGAATGTTGGGGAAACAGTGGAAGAATAGGGATGAAATTTCAGCGTAAGCTTTTTACTAATGAATGACAACCACCTTATTTAATATATGCACGATAAATATACTTTTATTTTTCTTTTAAACGTTTCAATTATTTACCTTTTTTTAAGCCTTTTTTTAATTACCTTAGTTTAAAGCATTTCTGCAAAAAGAATTACAAATAAGATATGTATTTTATATTTGTATCTAAGACTTCTGCGTATCTTTATCTATTATTTTCCTTTTCTAGAATAAAGTTTTAAAGAAAAGTATTACCCCATCTATTCACTCAAAGATTAATGAGTAACACTGATAGGCATATTAAAGCGCGCTCCAGAATTTAAATAAAGTCTACTCTAAATTCTTTGGAGTGGAATCTCAGTCTAAAGAGTGAAAATTGAGCCAGTCTTGAAAAAGAGTGTCTCAATTTTCAATTTTTAAGAATGAGATTTTACTCTTTAGAGTGAAATTCATTCTAAGAGTTTTACTTATTGCATTGCTACTTTATATTAATATTATTTTTGAATACTAAAACATTTGTAGTTTATAGTATCTCGGAATATATGTACAGTATAAAACTTCAAAAAAACGATCCAATAATAGATTTTAAAATATGAAATATTTTTGTATTACGGAATTAATCTAAACTACAGTGTGCGCTCGTTAGATTTACAGATGGTATCGTCCACGTATTTCTTGGCGAAGACATTCACGATTACTTTTACAACGTAACGTAATGCGTTGTCGGAAATATAACGGAGGTTGGTAGCTTTAGAGGCTTCTTCGTACTTTATGATAGAGACTCCCTGCTTTTCTATGTGGCCACGTCACGTCAAACGAAATCAAATATTGTTATTTGAAAATTATACATGTTAATAGTCAAACGATTCTTTTTTTCTGCCATAAATACTGAGAGAATTTTAATAGAACTTATAGTTGATCGTATCAATGACAGCTATAAGTTTAGTTGAGAAAAGTAAATTAAATAAATTCTCTTTCCCTATGTATATATTGTACGTACGATATATAACGTACGCTAAAATTCGAAATTAAATTATGATCTAGAAATAGAGTGAATTATTAAACCAAATTTAGACAATCCATTATTCCATATTATTATTCGCAGATTAAATATAAAGCGAAATGACTAAAACGGAGTAAGGTTTTGATTAGACTTGGTCAGCGCAGTAATAGACCATGGTAATAATACGTAATGATAGACTACACCTTTGACGTTTGATACTTGTTCGATTAC